ATGAGTCAGGTTTTCAGTTTGGTTTGGTTTTATATATCCAGTTATCACCTTGACTAAGCTTATTGTAAGTATATTTTGGAAAACTTTACACATGAGGATATTTTTGACACATTAGATGTTTTGGGGGCTCGCAGTAGGAAGTCTGAGCCAAGCAGATTTATTAATCATCACAGGGATCCATGTAGGGAGTCCAGAACAAAGAACCACCGCCAAAAGCACAAGCCTCTGTCCACAATCTTTGTTTTGCCTCTCTGCACTCATCAAGACACAAGTGTGCTGTCTTTTGATGTTTCTTCAATACACTGACAGCTCATCTGAAGCAAAAAGTTTCCAAAATTCTACTGAAGGAACCATGGTTGCATGTCTCTGTGGCACACTGGCTGAACTGACTTCGGTAAGGCAACAGGGTAAGAAAGGCAAACTATCTCCACTAGCATACAAAGTATCTTCCACACAGATTCGGGCTTGCAAATTTCATCAATTTCAAATGACTGCAAATGTTTTACTATGACTTTCTGAAAGGGCAAGTATTAGAGAGATTCTCTCCTATTTCATTATTCATCACAAAGACATTCGGACTGATACACACTTCCTGACCGGCCCCCTCCTCCAGTTGCCATGCCCACAGCTTTCAACACACTGTGACCCAAACATGGGTCCCTGAAGATTGGCAGACACATGTGTCATCCAGATTTTTATTTAGACAAACCATGTCTCAAGGACCGCAAAAACCATGACCCTTATCGCTTACTCTGAATATTGAGTCTGACAGAAAAAAAACGACATGATCCACCTCCCTTACCTCCCGCTGACGTTTGCCAAAGTTTGCCGCAGACAGGGAGGAGAGGGAAAAGAGAGCTGCAGGGTAGAGGTGAAGTGGGCGCACTGGGTCAGAAACCCCCTGGCTTTGAAACCGTGAAGAGGCTGGTGGAGAAGAAGGGTTTAGTGAGTGGGGCCCAGAATATGTGTTTGCCGTTTGAAGGAACAGACAGAGCTGCTCCAGCCCTGTATCCATGGCAACCATCTCAGGACCAACTTAAGCCCTTGTTGAGGTCTTTTGTTTCTCCAGAGGAAGTGATTAAAGGAGGTAAAAGTGAGAAAACAGAGAACAGAGAGTGAGACAAGCGTTGCCGACACTTATCTTCTGTCAGCTGCACTTTTGAAAGTCTTTCTCTCTGCAAATATCAATGGACAGTGCCTCACTATTTAGACACCAAATAACAGTCATCTGAAAGTACTCTCTAGGGCTCCTGACGCTGCGACTGAATGGCATCCTGAGGCTCGGACGCTAATGAGCTGTGATCATTACGCCAATTATTTTTACTTAGATCAGGACTTGGCTGTGACTGCGCAGAGGAACTAGGACCCACTGCTAGCCTAATTGCCGGCTTGGGAAAAAGAGGATGAGCATAACAAAAGGGTTTTGAAGCAGAGCTGGGAAGAGTCCACCACTAAACTCTGGTTACATTCCATCAGGTTGTTGTGCATCAGGCTGTGGCAGGTTTAAAAAGTGCCACTTAAGTCAATACTGTTGAAAGTTGGTTCTCAAAATGGTAGATATCGGAATAGTTCAGAGACAGAACCTTTAATATTAGATTTGGGGTTAAAGAGGAAATATCACAGTAAAGTTGACTCAAAACCTCCATAGTTATGGTTTGACTTCTACTGAAAGGAAGAAATAATCACCAATAATAGCCAAGGAACACACTGATCAATCATTCGCTCAGGTATAGTTACTAATATGTGACTTTGTTCTACATGTACACACTGAGCTGCCAGTTTATTAAGTTTATAATGTTTTTTATTGAAAGTTTTTAAAAGGTGTCTCTCTGTATAAAAATTATCTTTATTAACTGGTTATCTGTTTATTCTATGAAATGCCAGTAAAGTGTCCAGCTCACGTTCCCATTGCTTCTTCTTCTGACCAACAGTCCTTAACTTAACTAATCTCGACAGGCATTTTAGCTTAATAAATGACTTAAATGGTTAATTGATTGTTGATTTTCTGTTGATCAACTAATTGATTACTATTACCTGTTTCTAATATATAAAGCCCTTTATTATTTTTATCCTATTATCGTTACAATATTCAAGATATCTTGATGATAGCTAATCTCCCAGCTCCACATTGCATGTTATCACAGTGTATTAAAGTGTTTCTATGCCATGCAGCAGCAGTTTGCTGTGGGTATGACGGCTACATACAGTGTTCTACAGTCGATATTAACTTGTACTACAGCAGATGCACATTTGTAAAGATCAAATCTGTCAGAACCCTGTTTTCCACCCTTGTTACCCGAACCTCCAGACCCTCAGCAGTGCATCAAAACTGTACTGCTTAACCATTTCAATGTGTTACTCCTTTCATTCCCTCTTGTTCTGTTGGGGCCTATTGAAAAAACAACTCATGCTGGACTTGCTTTAAAAAGTGGGAACCTGCACCACATGGCTTTGGAGACCCCAGAGAGTGTTCAGGATTAGGTATCAGGAATACAGACCCAGCAGATATTGCTTCCTACTGCGTATAGACACTAAGATTTTGGGATGGATGAGTTCACCCAGGGAATGGTTGGGAATGGAGGAAAGACATCTCACAGAAGGATCCAACTAACTAATTGTGCTTTTAGCAGCTCTGGTGTGACAGTAAAGGAGACCACAAGAGCTCCAGTGCCATAATAAGCTTCCCCATTTGGACCATTGATCTTTATGGAACTTTATGCTATAAAATAAATTACATGAAAATCCACATTTCATCGTTATTATTGTCACTACAACAGTTTCACTGGAATTCATATTTCATAACTTCAAAGTGCTCCGTTTTATTTCATACTGGCATTTTTTTTTTCCCAGTGACACTTACACTACACTGTACTGTCACAGCAGCTTCTCTCAGCTACAGCAACATCAATGTCAATGTAATTCGGAATTAGACAACTAGCTGCTGCTGAGAAATCCCCAAGCTAATAAGACAAGCTAGTCATCTGACTGTCAGAGGGCGAATCCAACATACCCAGTGTGGAAAACCTAATTAATTGATTGATGGAATATGTTTAATACAAAAAATAAAAAATACACTGCAACTCTGCACAACTGTAGTTACACTCCCTAATGGCTTATTTGCATTGTGGCCATCCAACACATCACATCACCATAACACCACTCAAACACGTACATATCACACCAGCAGTTGCAGATGCTGACTGAGGCTCTCATAGGCTACAGCTGATTTGCATATGAACTGAGTCTGGCATCTAGACTCAAAAGATCTTATTTAAACTGTGAAATCAGCCAAATCAAACTAAATTAATTGTGAAAATAATTAAATTCTATAGTATTTTTAACAATTTGTTGATTTATAGTGATTCATGCGGTTAGCAGGTGAACAGTTTATTGCTTTGATTCAAAACGTTTTGTATTTATTCAAATGTTCTTTATTTTGTGATGTATTGTTAAATATTGAACATTTTGGAGTCTCGTAGATGTTAAGTTAAGCTCTGGTTTATGAGTACATCTCAGGACATTAAATTAACAACCCCAAAATGCATTTGGATAATATTTTATGACATCTGAATCCAGAAAACACACCACACCCTGGCCAGATGTACTATGATGTTGCTCAAGGGAAAACATACAAAAATAGTCACAAGTGCCAAAAAATGCTGAGGAAAAAATAGAAATAAGACACAATGTCAAGACAACATGAAATACCACTGAACCGATTATTCATTGTGAAAACAAACATTTTAACTGGATAAATGAAGTTGACTACCTGCTGAGAAATAAGGCATCATCTTCCACCCATTTAAACAGAATGACATTATCGCCATCTAGCGGTCGACACGCTTTCCATAGTAAAATCTGCATGGTTTTTAGTGCTAAACTACTGAGTAAAGTACTGAAAACATGGCTAAAAGAAACTCCCATCCTACTAAGTGTCGTGTGTAATGTGTTACCTTTGTAGGGTCATCATAAAATACTGCGATACATGAAAGCTTTGGTCCAATGTTGTGAGACTCCTTAAAAAGTTGCCCGCATTTTTCGTACGGTCCATCTTTGAATTTGTAGGCGAAAGTAATCTTCTTTATGGGAGGAGAGCCAGTTAGTACGACAATGTCTGAGAGGAGTCCCGAGTACAACATGTAAGCAGCTCCTGTTATAAGACCCAACAACAGGCTCAGGAGCACACACACACTGAGCCACTCTGACATGTTAGCTGTCTAACAGGAGGAGCCGCTTCCGTTATTCAGCTAGCTTCTTCTGAACACTTAACAAAGTTGTATTTGCTGTAAAAGTCGAACATTTTTAAGTAAATGTTGTGTTGTTTTTCAGTTGGAAATTGCCCTTGACTGAATTTAGAGCATCAGAGAGTGCACATTGCACGGGACTTCCTGGAAGATACCATTAATGCCGACCGGAGGGGGGGGTGGTGGTGACTTTTGTTCTAAATAAACTTGTAAAACTCTTAGAAAGAAAACATGTTCATGTCAGACATATTTATATGAGTCAGATTTACTGGTTGTTTATGTGTGTACAGTCGATATTCACACCGGTCGTTTGATAAATGGTAAATAAATGTTTAACTTTTGTTTTAAGCGGCCTACATTATTGTGTCGCCCGTCATTGCCACTGTTTGAAACTCTTTCTGAATCGGAAGTTAAAGTCAGTGAACTATAGACAGACACAACATTTCCGAGACTTTAATTTGAATAGTGATCAGAAACAAATGTAGTCAACCATTAGAAACGTTAGCTCACCTGATTTACCATATCTGGTTAATAATTTATATTTAATTTATGATCACAGGCCACTTTTTTAAAGTGGAAAAGCCTTGTGAGTGGGAATTCAAGAATTAAAATAATGAAATCTGTAAACATTTATTGAGATTGAATTTTATGGATATTAAAAATAAAAATAAAGGAACAAGTAATTTAATTTTAAATAGGAAGTTAACCGTTGTGGTCCGCCCAACGACTAAAAACAAGGGCTGGCCTTAAAGTTAACATGTTGACATTGGACCGCCCTCTCACAGATAAACTGCGCGTTTTTAAACTAGACTATATAGAGCTAGTTCGTGCAGTGAACTCAGAATTCGTGAGAATGGCTGGAAACGTGAAAAGGTTTTACAACCTGACAGCTAAGCTGCTGTCTGGAGAAATGTTGAGTTTCTCTGCACTGAAGGGGAAAGTTGTGCTCATTGAGAATGTGGCGTCTCTATGAGGAACAACAACCAGGGACTACACTCAGATGAACGAGCTCCACAGTCGGTACTCCGCCAAGGGACTCGTTGTTCTGGGTGTGCCCTGCAATCAGTTCGGACATCAGGTAGGCCATGTGTGGATTCAAAAGTGGCTGACATTGCCTCCTCTGTTTTATTATTGGGAGGATATTATTTCATTAGAACATGATCTAGTGTGTGTTTAGGACTCAAACAGCTCAAATGTGTGTTTCCTATTTTTACTG